GACCCCCTTCGGTTCGAACCCCCCTTCCCTTGCACCCCAGGAGGGGGGGCCCCCGCCCCAGTTCGAATCCCCCCCCCCCTCCCCGGCGTCCACAGAACGCGCTCCTTCGGATCTTGGGATATTGGGAAATCGCGTTGGGCCTTTCGCTCCGCACCTGGCAAGGAACTGCTCGCAGTGTCCCGATACAAGACGCATCGTTGGCTCAGGAGCGATTGAGACGAGAGAATGCACCAGTTGGGAGAATGCACCTGCAAGCTAAATGCGCCAGGTTGTAGAATGCACCAGAGAGGGCGGGGTGTGAGGAGGGAGGCCACACGAGGATTCGAACGGTGGCCAAACATTGAATCCCACCACAGAGTTCATCCCTTGGGGCCTTGGTGGTCGCCAACTGTCATCTTCGGATCTGTCGTCGATCCAGCTCGATCCCAAGATCCCAATCCAAAGGATGGTGCGTTTCCATCGGATGGTGCGTTTCACGGATCTGGAGCCAGGTTCGGCCCCGTGCGCACGTCAGAAGAACAACAAAAGGCCTGATTACTCAGGGGGTGGCGATTAGGATCGCGGATTCGGATTCTCCGGATCCGGATCCGGATCTAAAGCAGTTCCTGGTCGGTGCGCACATCTAAGCTGAGACCTGTACACTCAGGGACGGGGATTGGGATCACGGATTCAGATAATCCCAATCTGGATCTGGCTACATGTCTGGATCCGTGCGCAGATCCGAGGAACAAACGTTGACCTGTGAGCTCAGGGGCGAGAATGGGGATAACGGGTTCAGATTATCGCAATCCCAATCCGGATCCAGGTCCAGATCCGTGCGTACATCAGAGGAACAAACTTAGGTCTGCGCGCTCAGGGGCGGGGGTGGAATCACGAATTCAGATTATTCCAATTTTGATATGGATCTAAAGCCAGGTCAGAAACCGTGCGCACATCAGAAACATAAACGTAGACCTGTGCACTCAGGGGCTGGGATTAGGATCACGGATTTGGATTATCTCAATCTGGATCTAGATCCTGATCGGGGTCCAAATCCGTGCGCAGGAATAAGCTGAGACTTGTGCACTCAAGGGAATGACAATCTCCAATTCGGATCGGATTCCGGATCCAGAGCCGGGTCCAGACCCGCGCGTACATCAGAAAAGAAAGCTGAGACGTGTGCACTCAGGGGTGGGGATGTGGATCGCGGATTCGGATTCGGATCCGGATCCAGGTCCGGATCCGTGCATACACAGGCCTGTGCACTGAGAGGCGGGGATTGGGACTACGGATTTGCATTATTCCTTTCCGGATCTGAATCTAAATCCGGGTCCAGACCCGTTCGTACATCAGAAAAATTGCTGAGACCTGTACACTCAGGGACGGGATTGGGCCGCAGCAGTCATTCAGGGAGCATTCTGGAATCATCAGGAATCTTGAGGAATCCTCAGGAACATTCTGGAATCCCTAGGTATCTTCAGGAATCCTCAGGGAACTGCTTAGGAATCCTGAAAGGATCTGATTGGAATCCGATTGGGGTCTTATTGGGATACCGATGACCCTCATCTTTCGATCGATCTCCTCCAAGATGGCCCCCGAGGCTCCCAATGGTGCCCCAAGACGGCCCCAAGAGGTGTCCAGGAGGCCCCAAGAGGCCCGCCCCCACGATGCCCCCAAGATGCCCCCAAGAGGCTCCCAAGAGGCTCCCAAGAGGCACCCAAGACGCCTCAAGAGGCAGCCGGGACTGCCAAGGGACCCCCAAGACGCCCACAGAGGACCCCAAAAAGCTCTGGAAAGAAATCCGAAGAGACTCCGAGACTCATCCAAGAGGCCTCTGGCCTTTCTGCTCGCCCTCCTCTTTCTCCTGCTCCTCCTCCTTCTTCTCCTCCTTCTTCTCCTCCTCCTCCTCCTCCTCCTCCTCCTTCTCCTCCTCATCTTCCTCATCGGCCTGCTCCTCCTCCTCCCTCCTCCCCCTCTTCTCCCTCCTCCTCCTCCTCTTCCCTCCTGCTCCTCCTCCGATTCCTCCTCCATCCTCCCCTTGTTGGGGTACGATGTCTTAACCCAGCCCTTTCTTCCATAGCAGTCTCCTCCACATCCCTGATCTGGGCAACTCATCTGAGCATTGTTTCTGGCTGGGCTGGCGGGACTGCGCGGAACGTCTAGACTATTCACCACTGACGACGACGACGCGCGAAAGAAGCATAGAGTCGGGCGGGCGAGCGAGACATGGGATGTAGCTTGCACTCGGTATGGGACGGCGTCGAGGGTCGCCAAGAGTGCCTCAGGGCGTCTGGGGGGGAGAGCTCTTGGGGGCCTCTTGGGGACCTCTGGGAAGCTTCGTGGGGACCTCTTGGGGACCTCTTGGGGGCCTTTTGGACCTCCTGGGGACCTCCAGGGGCGGAGAGCTCGAATTGTCGGTTCGTATTCTCCCTCGGGAGACCTTCTTGAAGCGTTCTGGAAGCTCTCTGGGGCCGTCTTGGAGGCCTCTATGACCGTCTGAGCCGCCTTGGGCCGTCTCGGCACCCGCTTGGGAGCCTCTGAGGCCGTCTTGGGGCGATACTTGCGGCCTCCTGGACCGTCTTGGGGCGTCGGAAAACCGAAAAGGCGAGAACCCCAGAATCCTTCCAAAACAATTGAAGCATTGATGGATTTTGCCTCTTGGGGCCCTCTTCGGAAACCTCTTGGGGCGTCTTGGAGGCCTCTGGGGCCGTCTGGAAGCCATCGTGGGCATTTTGGGACGGAATTTCGGAGATTCTCGGCCCTTAAGGGGCATCTTGGGGCATATCTTGGGCCGTCTGGGGGCGTCCCCGGAGGCCCCGGGACCCCCATGAGGCACCTTTTCGGCCGTCTCGGCACCCGCCTAGGGGCCTCTGAGGTTGTCTTGAGGCGATACTCGGGGCCTCCTAGGCCGTCTTGCAGCGTCGGAGCACCGAAAATGCGAGAACCCCAAAATCCTTTGAAAACCATCGAACAATTAACGAGAAGGCGCACGTGCCAAGGATCATACAATCACAGATGCGGGACAATGGAAGATAGCGATGGCGCCGAGCCTGGTAGTTTTGAAGAAGCGCGCGAGTGTCGCGACAGGCTGGCGAATGACCATAACGAGGGAGCGGCGAATTGCAGCATGGCTGTGCGAATGCAACGCACGGTTTCGATCTGAAGGCGGTCTCAATATGACGGGAGAAGCTTGCGAAGTTTTCATGGCGTGTTTTCTAGTGCCGACCCCAGCCGGTATGGAGCGAAGCGCTTGGTCACCGTGCGCTTTTTGGAGCCTTTGTTGTTTGGCGTCTCTGGGGCTGCTTGGGGGTCCTCTTGGAGCCTTCTCATACATTCTTGATGCTCTTTTGGGTCGTTCTGGGGCTCTTTGGGGCTGTCCTCGGGCGTCTTGAAGGGCTTCGGCCGCCCTGGGGCTCCGTTGGGGGCCTCCTGGGGCCGTCTTGGCGGGGTGGCACGGGGGGAAGCGTGAGGGGGGGGGGGGGCACGGTCGGTCGGAAACAGAAGAAAGGTAGGGGGCCACATGCGAACCCTACCCCTACCCCCCACGATTTCGGAGGGGGAGGGTGGGGTTCACTTCGCTCGGGAGCTCCCGGACGACATGAACCCCCCACACACACCCTCAGAAATCGTGGGAGGTAGGGGTAGGATTCGTTCGTGGCCCCTTAAAAGGGTCCACGGAGGGATGGAGAGGAGGAGGAGAGAGGAGAGGAGGAGGAGGAGGAGGAGGAGAGGAGGAGGGAGGAGGAGGAGGAGGAGGAGGAGGAGGAGGAGGAGGAGGGAGGAGGAGGAGGAGGAGGAGGAGGGAGGAGGAGGAGGAGGAGGGAGGGGGAGGCCGAAAGCTCTCTGGAGGCCGTGCAGGTCCCCTGAGAGGCCCCTGGAGGCCCTCGGAGGACTCTGGAGGCCCCCTCCCAACGTGCGGAGCCTCGATCGTCGATGCTCGATGGTCGAAGCTCGAGGGCAGGAGGCAGGGGAGGGGGAGGGGGGAGGAGGAGAATCTAGGGGGGGGGGCACGGTCGGTCGGAACCAGGGGAGGGTGCCAGGGGGGAGCAGGGGGCCGCCACGGCCGGGCAGCGGGGGGTGGGGGGGGGCCACGGGGGGGGGGGAGGAGGGGGGGGCACGGCCCGAAGACCAGAGCCCCTCCGGAGCCAGACTGGCGGACCCGGCCGTCGGGGTCCTTGAGATGTGCCCACGTGGCCGAAGCAGAGCGCGTGGCTGGCCCGCCCCCCCTTAGAATCCAACCCAGTGGACCGCTTCGCCAAATTCACGCACACACACACATACACACACACGCACACGCACACGCACACGCACACGCACACACACACACAAACACACACACAAACAAACACACACACACACACACACACCGCACGCTTCAAGAGCACACGCTCCGTCGTCGTCGTCGTCGTCGTCGTCGTCGTCGTCGTCGTCGACGTCGTCGTCGTCGACGTCGTCGTCTTCTTCAGGGTCGCCGACACCAGCGGTAAGGCCTTCACAATGCACACACCGCACGCTTCAAGGGCACAGGCTCCGTCATGCGATTGTGGGGATCGGAATATCACTGGAGCGACGCTCCCGTGCGGGGGAAGGCCTGGTCACCTCGCGCCTACAGCCTGGCGGCCGGAATACGGAACAACGCATAAGGCGCAACCTCCTGTGGCGCCAAACGAGAAACCGGGTGCACGAGGAGGGCCAAGAGGAACAACCGCGAAACGACCCGAGGAACAGCGGGCCCCTGCGGAGCCCAAAGCGGTCCTCATATTTCGGCGTCTTGACTGTACCATCTCAGCCTCTCGACCGTATACAGAAGCTTCAGGAGAGGAAAAAAAAAACAGACACAATGAATCGTCGATCCCAGGAAAATATAAGAAAATATGGGAAGTGGGGGGGAAGACAAAAACCCAGAAAATATGGGAAATATGTATATTTATTTGTGTGTCCCAGAGCCCCTTTAAAGCTCCTGGCCGTAATTAAATATTAGCACCACCACCAGGCGCGGCCACGGGCGGGGGATCCCTGGCCTGCTCGGAGGGCCGAGTGGCGGTCCACGAGCCCGCGCACCGCACTCTCCTCGGGGCGCGGGAAGCTCCACCCCTTCTTGCAAGCGCGCGGCCGGCGCCACACTTTGGAGGGAGACGGCCTCCTCCTCCTCCTCCTCCTCCTCCTCCTCCTCCTCCTCCTCCCGCCTGCGCCTCCTCCCGCCTGCGCCTTCTCGTCGTCATCCTCCTCCTTCCTTCTCCGCCTCCTTCACCACCTCCTTCACCACCTCCACCACCTCCACCATCCCCTCATCCGCCTCCTCCTCCTCTCCTCCTCCTTCTCCTCCACCTCCTCCTCCTCCTCTTCACTCTCCTCCTCTTCCTCCTTTTCCTCCTCTTCCTCCTCCTCCTCCTCTTCCTCCTCCTTCTCCTCCACCTCCTCCTCCTCCTCCTCTTCCTCCCTCCTCTTTCTCCTCCTCCCCCATCCTCCTCCCCATCCTCCTCCTCCTCCTCCTCCTCCTCCTCCTCCTCCTCCTCCTCCTCCTCCTCCTCCTCCTCCTCCTCCTCCCCGTGCCGATGGCTGCCCGCATCCTGTGGGGCCTGATTCTCGTGAAATACGCACGGGGCGCTGGTAAGAGGGTGCTCCATCTAGCACCCTCGACGAGCACCCTCACAAGCACCGCATCGGCCAGGGAGCAGGGGCGGCACCGGCAATCCTCCTTGCTATCCTGCCTCCACCGCTGCTGCCACATCTTTCTTGGTCACCTTGCTGCCCTGGTGCCATCTGCTCTCTCGGATCATCCCGCTACCCCTTCCAATTGCTTGGGACTGGGGACGACCAGAGCCCAGGCGTACGAGGCCTCACCAGGCGGCGCCGGCCGCAGATGTTTCTGTGTCCCACACGTCTAAGGCATACTGGTCCCTGCCCAGGTATCGACTGAATCACTTGGCTATCCCACCAGCCCTTTGGGCTGGTCCAGCGAGTTCTTTTCCTGTCGGCTCTCATGGGCAGAGTTTCTGAATGGGTTGGTGGAAATAGTGATCGTTTTCTTTTTCGGCGTTTCGACATTGGGCGGAAGGGGCGGGAAGGGGGCGGGGGTCTGGCTCTGGACCTCTGCTTAGTGCGACTGCTTGCAACAGTGTATCCCATGTGGGAGACTCCACCTGCCTGAAGCAGGCCCCCCAAAACAGCCAAAATCTACTCCTGGGGGGAGGGGGAGGGGGGGTGCGAGGGTCCGCGCCGATCGGCAAAACAACGAAGACGAAAACGCAGGGAAGCGTGAAAACATTGTTCAGCTTCGTCGCTCTGCTGCCCTCTTCTCGCTCCTCTCGCGCTCACCGCTCATGCTGGAGCTCCGGCCCCCTCTTGGCTCATGCAACATCCGCTCGTGCCAGGGCTTTTCCCCGTCATGGCCGACCACTCGTGCTGGGGCCCCTTGCGTACAGTCGAGGCGTTGACCTAAGAAACCCTAAATAAGGAACGAGGCCTCTTTTTTCCATAAACTCAACCTCGATTTCCCATGAAAAAACTGAGGAAAACCCGAGGCAAACTTTGACACAATCAAGGAACACTAGGCCCCTCACCCTGTGGATGTGACTTCCTGTGTGTGCCTCAGCCCCTCACTGTGGATCTAAGACCCTCCGTGCGTCGACCCCATCGCTCCGCACTCGTGGACCCCTCCCTCGTGCTGGGCTTTCGCCCCTCATTACTTCACCCCGCATGCTGGGCTCCTGCTGTAGACTCTCAGGACTTGTCTTCTCATGCGTTGACCTTCACCCAGGGTCTACGACCCTCCATGCGTTGACCCCATCGCTGGGGCTTTGGCCCCACACGCGTTGACCCCTCATGCTGGGCTTCCGTCCTCCACCATTTGACCCTCATGCTGGGGCTTTGGCTCCTCTTGCTGTAGACTCTTCGATGTTGACCCCCCCCCATGCTGAGACATTGCTGTGCTTCCTCTTAGCTCACGCTTTGACCCCTCATGCTAGGGTTTCGACCCCTCATGCTTTGACCCCTCATGCTGGGGCATCGCCCCGTCCTCTCTCATGCGCTGTCCCCTCATGCCGGGGCTTTGGCGCCTCAGTTGTTGACCCGTCACGCTGCGTTGACCCTCCGCGCCTTGGATTTGCTCCCAGTTAGCTCATGCGTTGACCCTCATGCGGGGGTTTGGGCCTCTCGGCATTGTCCCCATCATGGGACGCATTTGGTCTCCGCATGATCTTCCCATTTGCTTTTGGCCTTCAGCGTTTCCTTTGTTTCTTTGCTACTGCGGTGACTTGTTCTTTCCAGCTCATCCTGCTGCCCCCCGCTCAAGCGTTTCGGCCGCCATCTCAACCTTAGGTTTTCTCATCTCCTTCCCGTCTTTTCCCTTTCCCACCCCCATCCTCTGTTCACCTTTTCGTGTCGCATCACACGTTATTTCTCGTATTGTTGTTGCCATGTCGTTGTATGTGGTAATATGGGCATATGCACAGCCTCACCTAGCTCGCCTGACAACAACACACTCCGCATCTATCTCGCCTCCCTCGACGTCTCCCGTCACCACCTTGCCCCCTCCCACTCCCCGCATTTCCCATACTCTCCCGAACCATGCGTCCCCCCTTTCCCCGCCGCCCTTCCCCCCAGTCATACGTCTTCCCCATGTCATCCAAAACGTTTACATTCTGGGTAGCTTGATACCAACTCTTGAATCTTTTTACAGCCACGAGGTATGCGGACTGCACATATCATCAACTGGGCGTCCGACCCCTCATTTGTCGACCCCTCACGCTGGGGCCGCCCCCTCGTGCATTGACCCCCCACGCCATGGATTGGGTATCTCACGCGATGGCCTTTCGTTTTGGGTCCATGACCCGCCACGCGCTGACCCCATCGCTAAGGCTTTGGCCCCTCATGCCTTGACCCCTCCTGCCGTGGCGCGGGCCCCTCATGCGGTGATCCCTGATGCGATGACTACGACCCTTCATGCATCGACCCTTTCATGGTTGGGCTTGGACCCAGAGTGCGTTGACCCCTTCATGCTGGGGTTGAGCCCTCACATGCCTTGCCAAGGCCCAAATGGTGCCGCCCGCATGCGTCCCCGCAACTCGTTTCGGCACACCCCCCACACGCTTCGCGGCCCCATAGGGAGCTCTACCTGCCTAACGAACGAACGAACGCCAGAGTCGTGCGCGCTCCGCGAGGGAGCTCGCCCGTGCCCATCAGGGCATGGCGTGGAGGCCGTGGCCTCAAACATGTGAAACTTAAGCAACTTCATGTGACAGCCACCACTCTCGGCATGGTCGCTGCCTGGATCTGGTCCCGCTCGGCGTCGGCGTCGCAGCATTGCCCGCCCAAACTGTGTAAAAAAATGAAAATGTCGTCTTCCCATCTTTTTGGCCGCCTTCCGTGATGCCAGCGTCCTCGTTGTCGAGTATTGAGATTTGGATTCCATTTCGGTCCCCTTTGCGTGCAAAGGACCCAAGAGCCCACTAGTGCCGCCCGCATGCGCCCCCGCCATTCATTTCGTCACACCCCTCGCCCGTTCCGTGGCCCCACATGCAGCTCCACCCAAGGCGCCAACGGCGCCGTTCGTATGCGTCGAACCCATGTCGGCACACCCCTCACAAGTTTCGTGGCCCCATAGATGGCTCCACCCGAAGGCCCCACGTGGTGCCGTCCGCATGCGTCCCCGCCACCCATTCCGGCACGCCCCTCGCATGTTTCGTGAAAGCACAGGGACCTTCACAGAAAGCTCAAGCGGCACCCTCCGCACGCGTCCCCGCCACCCATTACGGCACATCGGTTAAACGTTCAGTGCTCCCGTAGGGAGCTTCACCGAAGGCTCCAGTGGCGACGTGCGCATGCGGTTCCCCACCCTTTTCGGCACACCCGTCACACGATTCATGGCCCCACAAGGGGCTCCACCCAACGTCCCAGTGCCACCGTTCACATGCCCCCCCCCATCCCCTCACATGTTCTCATGTTTCGTGGCCACACAGGCAGCTCCACCCAAGGCCCAATGAGGAGATCCACTGAAGGCGATATTCAAAATGACGGCATTCACGACTGCATATGGTTCAGTCCTTCGCCAAGATAACTTATTAATTTGATAACCGCCTCGTCTCCCAGCCTTGCGTGTGTTGGCTGCCCGCCCGATCTCTCATCCCTCTGGGCCTCGACCTTCATTATCTTTTCGGATTCTTCCTCCCTCCACCGTTGCCCCTTCCCTTTTTTCCCTTCGTCAATCCTTTATCGCTCTACTTCCTGCGACATACCCGACTGCCCGCATGTTTTGTTTTCTTTCTCGCCCACGCCCACTCTGAATTACAATGTTAGCCAGCGTGTGTGAGGGGTTATCCGTTCGAGTCGGGTCCCGTTGGTGTTGTCAAAAAAATCAAAATCCTTAGAGGTCTTAGCCGACATCCGCCGACCCTGACATCCGTCAAGCCTGTCAGCGAGAGAAAAACCTAGCAATGTCGTAATCGAATCGAAGGGAAGCCCCTTCCATCTGATCCCTCCCCCGTCGGGGGAGGGGAGGTCCCGACGGGGGTGGTGGGGGGTCAGATACGCATCCCTCCCTGGGGGTCCAGAGCTGGAAAAAAATGCCCAAACAAGCCCCGAGTGCCCCAAGAGGTCTCCGCGAGCGTCAAAGAGGGCCCCCAATCACCAAACGATCGGTCGAAATGCCCTCACGTCCTCCAGACTGCCTAGGAGACCTTCAAGACGCCTCAATAGGCCTCCAAAGGTACGCCCGAGAGAAACCCAAGAGGCCGTACTCATTGATTTTCAATGAGTTTGCGAAAGAATTGAGCGGTCTCGCTTTTGCCCCTTCCCGCTGCTCCAAGATGGCCGACGAGGCCCTCGAGATGGCCCCAAGAGGCTTGCACGAGCGCTTCAAAACACCCCAAGAGAAACCCAGCACAGTCCAAAACGCTTCCAAGACGGCCCAAGAGGCCCCCAAGACGGCTCCAAGAGCGTGCCCAGACAAGGGGCACGAATGGACATTTCGAGCCCTCAACCCCGTAAAGCTCCCAGGAGGCCCGAAGAGGTTCCCAAGTTCCAAGAGGCTCACAAGAGGCCCCCAGGATATCCGAAGGAGTTCCCGCCTTTTCCTCTTCCCGCCGCTCCAAGACAGCCCGAGAGGCCCTCACGATCGCCTGCAAACGGTCGAAGAGGCTTCCAAGCGAGCCCGCAAACAGCCCCAGGGAACGCAAAAAGACAGCCCCACACGTTCCCAAGACGAGTCCAGCGGCGACCAACACGACTCCAGAAGTTTTCCCACACGGGACACCCGAACGCATATTTCGAGCTCTCAGCTTTGAGAGGCTCCTAGGAGGCCTTCCCGCCGCTCCAAGACAACCCAAGAGGCCCTCACGATCGGCTCAAGACGGTCAAAGATGCCTCCAAAAGACCCCGCAAACAGCCCCAGCGAACGCAAAGACAGTTCCAAACGCCTTCAAGACGCTTCCAAAGGCCCCCAACACGATTCCAAAAACGTGCCCACGCGGGACACCCGAACGGACACTTCGAGCTGTCGGTTCTGCGAGGCTCCTAGGAGGCTTCAGATTCCCCAAAGAGCCCAAGACACACACACAATAAGTCCTACCCCGCACTATCCTCGACTCAACCCCGTCATCTTTCTTTCTTCTTTTGACGTCCCCCTGCACTCCCCCACGGTGCTCAGCCCCCCCCCTCAAACTCTGCCTCCACATCCCAATGCTCCTCCACATGATCGCCACCCTCCTTCTCCTCCTCCTCCTCTTCCTCCTCGTCCTCCTCCTCCTTCTTCTCCTCGTCCTCTTTCTCTTTCTTCACTTCCTTCATCTCGGCGTCGTCTTCCGCCTCCTCCTCATGCAGCTCCTCCTCCTCCTCCTCCTCCTCCTCCTTCGACCTCGTCGTGGTCAGCGTCGCCGTCTTCAGGGTCGGAGGCACCGGCCGTAAGGCCTTCGCAATATTCCACAGGAAACCCACCGCAAGAAACACAACCCTGAACTCAGCCGAGGTTTCTGGGTCCAAGGTTGGGCTTCTTGCACTTTGACCGCAAACGAAGAAACTCAGGGCACCCTGACCCGAGCGCTTTATTGATCACGTGCTTAAAGCAGCTTGGCACCAAGGAACCCAAGGTGATCGAAAGTGCAAGCTTCGGGCCTTGCACGAACAGAAAGATGACGACTGCTCCCGCCCCTCACGACTTCTCCCCGCGAATGGATGGGCAACGCGGTGCGAACAACCCGAGTGGCGGGCGAAGAAGCCCAAGGCACCCCGAATGCCCACAAGTTTCATGGAGGTTCGGGCACGCGATCCGAAACGCACCAGCGCCCAAGAAACCCAGAGTGCCCTGCAGTTTGAAGTATATTTGAGATTGCTACAACCTTCCACGCCGAATACAAGCCGAAGAAACCCAGGGCACTGACGAGGCATAAGGCGTTTCTTATCATGCGGCCCCAATGTGCTCCACTTGCCTAGTCGAACCGCCAGCGCATTTTGGTTTATTCGTTGAGGCCCGTTGGGGTGGTCGAATTTCCCCAATGCTGGACGCCCTCTTCCACTTGTTTATCAGAATCGCACGCGCTTTTCGGTATCAGTGCGCTGAGACCTCCCTGGAGGGAAGAATACCCCCCTGGAGCACACACTCATGTTTGCTTCATATCAACAGACACGCAGACCCTTTCAATACATCTGCTTACTGATTACAGGGACCAGCCACCCTTGAGGCTTTGTAAGCCACCAATATCCTCCTCCTCCTCCTCCCCGCTTTCCTCCGTTCCCGCCTGCCTCCTGCATGGGCCAACACGGGGAGGAAGCCCCCCTGACCTCGTAGGACGCGCCTCTGAAATCAGGTCGAGGAGGACGAGACCGGTGATGATTAGGAGGAGGGCCAGAGGAGCGATGAGGACGCAGTGGGGACGAGTAGAATGATCAAGACATGATTGCCTGTGGTTTTCCAGTTTCGTGCGTGGTTTTTTCGCCAAATGATCAAAGATGCTCCTCGATGGTCCTCGCCGACGGAAAAAGGCACACGTCCGAGCGATGCCAAGGGAGAGGAGGCCTTCAAGCCATGCCAAGGGAGAGGAGTGGGTCTCCGAAAACCACAGCCTGGGTCTCCGGCGCCCGTTCGGGGACGAGCCGGCAAGCCCTGCAAAGGTCTTGGCGAGGCACAGCTGCTGGCGAGAATCCCAGGGCTGGGAATAGGCCGCGAACAGACAGCATCGCCCGATAACCTCGACGCTCGATCCTCGGGCCTATCATCTTCGCCTGACATGTTTCGCGATCGCCGCTTGACCCACAGCGATGCGGGCTCCATGGCGGCAACGTCGATGGGCTCGTCGCTGCGGAGCACCCAGGCGCCCATGGGCACGTACTGGCCGGGGGAGAACCACACAGCGTATTCCTCGCAGTGCGGGTCGCTGGCAGGATCGGGCCCAATCATGTTTCCTCAATGCCACATGATATATACACAAATATAGGTACACTTGTGTATGTATGCTATAGATATACTACAACCACGCGCGATTCGCGCGCGCAGGTTCTAGCCATGTACCAAACCCTGGAGAAGCTCGCGACTTGAGCAAAGTAGATCCTCACAAGTGGCTCCGGCAGGAGGTGAACAATCATCAGCAATGTGCACCGATCTGATACGACTTACCGACAAGGACGCGCCCATACAATTGAATCCAACATGAGATGACCCGGTGTCCATCCTACCTGTGAACTCATATTTTCCCAGCCAAACCGGCATCGCCCCCCCCCGCCATCCTCTGCAACAAATACTATGCGCGCGCACTCGTTTATCGAAAATCATAACTGTTCAAAAATATCATGCAACATATCTGACGAAGTGCACACGCGCGCGTCGTCGCGCGCGCATGCCGATTCCTTGAAAAACAGTATTGGTTTCGGAAGGAATTCAAAATCGAGTTTCCAAAAGGCATACAAAAACACAGGGTTTCGCAACACGGATTCTCTAAAAAAAATTACGCGCGCGCTCTTGCGAAACCTTCAGAAAACCATAGTAGTTCAATATTTTCCCAAGAAAAACTACCAAACGGGCTTCGTGCGCGCGCATGTCGAAATCGTTCGAACGCCCTTGCGCGCATGCCGTCGCGAGAACCCTCGGCAAAAAATGTGACGGAGTGCACGCGCGCGTGTCGTTGCGCGCGCATGCCGAAATCCTTCAAAAACCTTTGGTTTCGGAAGGATTTCGAAATCGAGTGTCCAAAAAACATACGAAAATGCATGGCTTCGCAACACGTAGTTTCAACAACAACGTGCGCACGCGCTCTTGCGTCGTCGTCGTCGTTGTCGCCGTCCCTCCTGCTTCGTCGTCGTCGCCGTCGTCGTCCTCTGACTTTCCTCGTCGTCGTCGTCCTCTTTGGCGTCGTCGTTGTTTCCGTCGTCGTTGTCGCCGTGGTCGTCGTTCCTCCTCCCTCGTCGTTGTCCGTCCTCAGCGTCTCGTCGTCGTCGTCCCTCCTATTTCGTCGTCGTCGTCGGCGTCGTCGTCGGCGTCGGCGTCGCCGTCGTCGTCGTCATCGGCGTCGGCGTCGTCGGCGTCGCCGTCGGCGTCGTCGTCGTCGTGGTCGATGTCGTCGTCGTCGAAGTCGTTGGAGACGCCGTCGGTGTCGTCGTAGTCGTTGTCCGTGGCGTCGTCGTCCTCTTTGTCGCTGCCGTCGTCGGCGCCAGTGTCGTTGCCAACTGCAATTTGGTACATCCCGTCACGGTCTGAGGAGGTCTTGCGACCAAGTTGCGGGTGGGAGGGTGGGATGTTTGCACGAGCAGTCGAGAAAACAGCTTCAAATCCCACCAGCCCTTTGGGCGTGAGTGGTTTAGGGAGCTCTCTCTGTCCTCAACCCCCCTTCTTCCCCTTCGGGGAGGGGTTTACCCCTCCCCCGACCCCCTCCCCCTGGACCTGGAGAGGGAGTTCCGCGGGTCGTCAGGGGGGTCTTTTTCGACGTCTGGGAGGGCCAAAAAACGACGACCCTCACAAGGATTCTGGCCCCGAGGGGGGGGGGGGGAGTTTGGTGCCTCAGCTCGTCTTTGAAGCAACAGTCATTGATTTTACTAGGGTTTTGGGCCCATTTTGGGCTTCTGAAGGGGGCAGCGCTCATCGTCCTTCACAGCAAAATCATTGATTTTACGAAGGTTTTGGGCTCATTTTGTCCTTCTCAGGGGGCAGCGCTCATTTGCGCTTCTGAGGAGGTCGCAAGAGGCCCCCAAGAGGCCCCAAGAGGCCCCCAAGAGGCCCCCAAGAGGCCTCCAAGAGGCCCCCAAGAGGCCCCCAAGAGGCCCCAAGAGGCAAGAGGCCCCAAGAGGCCTCCAAGAGGCCCCCAAGAGGCCCCCAGAGGAGGCCCCAAGAGGCCCCCAAGAGGCCCCCAAGAGGCCCCCAAGAGGCCCCAGAGGCCCCAAGAGGCCCCCAAGAGGCCCCCAAGAGGCCCCCAAGAGGCCCCCAAGAGGCCCCAAGAGGCTCCAAGAGGCCCCCAAGAGGCCCCACGAGGAGCCCGAACGACTCACACCAGGACGAGGGGCCCGAACGACTCACACCACGAAGAGCCCGAACGACTCACACCACAAGGAGGGGCCCGAACGACTCACACCAGGACGAGGCGCCCGAACGACTCACACCACGAGGAGCCCGAACGACTCACACCACGACGCGGGCCCCGAACGACTCACACCACGAGGAGCCCGAACGAGTCACACCAGGAGGAGGGGCCCGAACGACTCACACCAGGACGAGGGGCCCGAACAACTCACACCACGAGAAGCCCGAACGACTCACACCAGGACGAAGAGCCCGAACGACTCACACCACGAAGAGCCCGAACGACTCACACCAGGAAGAAGGGCCCGAACGACTCACACCAGGACGAGAAACCCCAAACGACTCAAACCACGAGGAGCGCTTTCTCTCCCTCCTCCTCCGCCTCGTCCTTCTCCCGCTCCCCCCACAATGAGGATGTACAAAGAGGCGGGAGGAAGGAGGAACAGGGGAGATATGCGGGGCCAAGCGGACACACGCCTGATTATCCCGGCAAAGCAACCTAACAGCCATGTGTAGGAGCATATCTGGAAGCATTCCCCTTAAGATTCGGATGAGAATCCAGTTGTAGAATTCTGCTGTTCTCGCAGTCGTTGTCGCATTCGCGAGGACAGTCGCAGTGGCAACGGCAGTCGCAGTCACAGCCTCAGCCTCAGCCTGCCTCAGCCTCAGCCTCCGCCTGCCTCAGCCTCAGCCTGCCTCAGCCTCAGCCTCAGCCTGCTTCAGCCTCAGCATCAGTCTGCCTTCGGCCTCGGCCTCAGCCTCAGCCTGCCTCAGCCTCAGCCTGCATCAGCCTCAGCCTCAGCCTCAGCCTGCCTCAGCATCAGCCTGCCTCAGCCTCAGCCTCAGCCTCAGCCTGCCTCTGCCTCAGCCTCAGCCTGCTTCAGCCTCAGCCTCAGTCTGCCGTCGGCCTCGGCCTCAGCCTCAGCCTGCCTCAGCCTCAGCCTGCATCAGCCTCAGCCTCAGCACGAAGCGACCCAGCTAGAAGGACAAAGCGCTGAATGTACACCGATGTGTTCGACGACTGCGTATGTAATGATGTGACGATATACAGACTGAGCCCTTCGTGAATGTCTACATGTTTTTCTGACGCCTACAAACGGCGCTGACGTGTGTGAGAAAATTGTCCGCGCAGCAAAAGCCGGCGAAGCGTGCAGACAGCCAGCTGCAAAAGGTTGCGAGCGGCTCTTGGAAGACGTTTACGGAACGGAGCTACGGTGTCTGAAAACATTGGCATCGAAGCGAAGAGCCTCGGAGCCCTGCAGCCTGAGAAACACCGCAGGAACTCGCATACTGAAAAGGAATGCATTGCAAACCGCACGTTGCGAACCCTGCAGGCTGAGAAGCACCGCAGGATGTCGCATGCTGAAAAGCACTTGTACTGCAGAGCGCAGGCTGCGAAACCTGCAGGCTGAGAAGCACCGCAGGAACTCGCATGCTTTCGAACACTACTGCTCGAGACCGCAGCTGGAGAGCGGCAGACCGCAGGCTGAGAAGCACCGCGGGCAGAGAGACTTGCAAAACTCAGATGTCCTGATCGTCTTGGAGGAAGTCACGCCAGTCCGGCGGCTGCCAAGAATCGATGATGCGCCTGGAGCCACCGCCCGTGCTGCCGCCGATGTCCAGGTAGTCGCCATCGCCCCTGAACAGACGGCCGTGCCCGCACGCCAGAATCGCTTGGTTGCGGATTTGAAGCAGCGCTCCGCTCTCAAACATCTGCAACACGTCCAGCTGCCTGCGCGTGAAGTTCGGCTTTGCCTGGCCAGCCTGGGCAGACAGATGGAGGGAAAGCCGCTCCCCCTCGTTGTAGCGCGCGATGGCCTCGGCCTTCTGGTGGTGCAGCCGGCGCCGCTGTTGCCGCAGAGCTTCCTCGGGAACTGCTGCATCACGGCCCTCACTGTGATCAGCTTGCAACGCTTGCGTTAACCAATCAACGTCGAAGCGCCCTGAGAAGGCCAGCACCTCCCAGATCTGTTTGGTACCGGCCACACGTTGCAAATGGCGATGCCACCGCTTACGCTTCTGGTCTTTCACAAACTTGGCGACGCTACCCAGACCTGCACCCTTGGCCTGGCCACCTTTTCCCGCAGGCTGAGAAGCACCGTGAGAACCTTTCTTACCGCCTGGCCCTTTGTTCGGACCCTGCGGAACCGCATGGCCCCCTTGTGGCGCAGACTTGCCTTTCGCTTTTCCCTTTTCGATATCCCGTTCCTGAAGCGCACGCTGCTGCCGCGACTGCTCGTACTGGTCGCGAGCTACTCTGACCAATTCCTGGCGCTCAGGCTCCGTGAGAACGTAGCGCATGTCGTCGATGTTCTTGCTCCGCAGAAAGTCATGTCGAAGCTTAAGGACAGAGAGAATGGCTCGGCCAGTCTCCTCCTGAGACGCAAAGGCCGCGTCATATTCCGAGCCAGGCTGAGGAGCGCCAGCTGGATCAGTGTCCGCTGGCTCCGTGGACTTCCTCTTTTTGAAAAGCAAGAGACTGAGATGATGGAGGACTTTCGGATCGTACTCCTCGTCGTACCTGTCGTCCCAAAGCTGCCTCAGCTCCCTGTGCAAGTCGTCCGCGCGATTCTGAACGACATCCTCGACGTAGTCGGGATCACCCGGTGAAGTCGGTGAAAGCGGAGGAGCAGAACTCGGCGACCGATCCCAATGCACAGAAGACTCGCGGTCCGCCTGTACGCTGACGTCGGCGTCGGAGACGTTTTCGACGACAATTTTCCGCCTCTTGCTCTCCCCAGGCTGAATAGCACCAGGGAGAGTGAGCACAACCGCCACCGCATCGTGTGCGTCGTTGCGCATGCCACGATCCGTAAAAGACGCGCCAACGGCAATGGAGCAGAAACGGGCGA